TCTCTCTCTCTCTCTCTCTCTCTCTCTCTCTCTCTCTCTCTCTCTCTCTCTGCGCGCGCCATACGTTTCTTTATGAAACACGTAATGGCCTTTTTTCTAACGTGATGACCCCCTCCCTGTATGTATGTATGTATGTATGCATTTTAATATAGATACATGTATATATTTGTTGTCTGTGGGTGTTGTGTGAAATGTTGCACTGTACTAGCTCCTCACACTCACTCTTGTACTAGCCACCCCCTGTAGTCAACGCATTTCTCTCCCTACCTCCTTCTGTGTCGTAATAACCTCGTAACGACGTCGTAATAACCCCTGTAACGACCTCATGTTGTCCTAACAATGGGGAAAATGCTGCAGTGATTTCTTTTCCAGGTGTTGTTTTTGTCGTTGTTGGGTTGTTTTTTTTGTTTTTTTTACTTCTATATGGTGGTCAAAAAGTTCTGGTACTTGCAAGACCGAACTGTTTTGATTTCGCCATCATAAGGCAAATGTCATAACTTTTTGTGTTGATTTCGCCTTTCTTAAAGCAAATTGTGCCTTTTTTAAAGCAAATTATGCCTTTCTTAAAGCAAATTATGCCTTTCTTAAAGCAAATTATGCCTTTCTTAAAGCAAGTTATGTAAAGTGAAGTCGTACTATTAAAAATTTGTATTGTTTCTTATAAGAGTTGTTTTAAGTCGCAAATATATTTACACTGAATTTTAATATTTTAGCATTTTAAAGTCAAATAGTTAACCAATCGTGCAGTGAACTTTTGCGAAAGTAAACAACTTGTGTTTTGCGCGCTCATATGACCTTAGCAGTTGTGAGCGCCGTAAAACCCTATACTACTACTATATCTTATTAAAAGTTTTCAATCATGGGGAAGCATGCATCAGTTGGGGGTGGGGGGGGGGTTGCTTCGCTCAGTTGTGCAGTTTTTTAAAACTATTTCCACTCCGCTCGCAACACTCTGCAGCTCGAGTCGATTTGTTATGTAAAACTGATTGCTTAATTTCTGTATGTGGAAACACTTAATTTGGGGGAAATGTGAGTACGCGGTATGTGGAAACTTAAAGCGGCCATCTGAAAAACTGCTCGTCAAATTTGTTGATTTTCAACCGATACCATTTTCCTTAACACTTGCAGTACCCAAGGCTCATAAGGGAAAAAATCCTCAAGTGCCTCACCAATTTAGAACGCTAAAGTCATGGTAGAATTCAATTTTAAAATTTAGAAACCCTCACAGTTAAAGAAACACTCCTTGAAAATTCACAGCGTTTCATCAACCATTCTACTGTCGCATATCGAGTAAGTTCATTAGGTATTTACTTCAGTGCAATGGTTCCCGTTCATTGTTTAAATATGAACTTAAGTGTGCCTGGTCGAGTTTGCAACTTTAGTCGCCAGCGGTGGTAATGAGCACACACTATGGCCTGGCGTCGCCAGCCTTGTGTCGCCGACCTTGCCTTACAGAAAGTGTTGAGTTTAACGTGTCTTTTATCATTTTATGTAGTAAACTGTACATACCCAGCCTACAAATATGACGTGTATACATTAATGTCCATAGAGTTAAATTCGGAGAGGTAAATCATTTATAACTCAAGGGGCTGTCTTTGTAAGTCCCCCTTAATTAAAAAAAAACCCAAAAAAAAACATATATATATACATATATATT